AGAGACAGGCAGGGGAGAAGGGCAGAGAGAGAGAAGGAGGGGGGGAGGGGGAGCGGGGGGGAGGGATAAGGAAAGAGAATCAGGCTCTAGTCTGCCTAAGGTCCTGAAGTTATTTTATAACTGCACTTTTCTGGATAATCCTCTCCCCCTAAGAAGACCCTCCTTTTTTTCCCCTTGCATGAACCCCCCAATACTCACATAATGGAATATTACAATTTCTACTGCAAAGTATTGATCTGCTTCCCCCAGAAGCAGATCTCCAAATAAGGATTTGGCTTTTTTGGAAGGAGAGCCTGGGAAACACTAAGAAAGGAGTGAGGGAGTCAGACAAGAGAAGGAAGGAAACCTAAGAAGGGGGACGTGATATCAAGGTCATTACCACGGTAGCAGCTAGAGGTTTGTCCTGCCAGGGAACCCTGGGAACCTGTGTGTGGAAGAGGAGACCCAGAGTTCCTTCATCTGAGGTGAGCGGGAGCTGGGGTGCTCTCACAAACTCCCTCCAGTTATTAGTTGAGGGTTATTCCAGAGGGGCTCCTGCTGGGGAGAGGGGTGCAGGTGCTGGCACTTGGAAGCTGAGCCAGCTCTCACCGGAGCCATAAAAGCCAAGGGCATTCGAGGTCTATAACAGTGAGCATTTTTTTGCAGCATCTGCCTCACACTAGATATGGCGGATCTTTCTCGCTGATTTTCGGTGACCCTTGTGGAAGTCCTGTATGGGACCTTCCCATTGCATAGCAATGAGAAAATGACACAGCTGAGACTCAAACTGGAGGCTCCAAGAATCTTTTCTAATGCATCTCTAAAAAGCACTGGAATGGTCTCCTGAGGGCCAGAGGGCTAAGGGAGGGTGGAGGGGTTGTTTTGAGGACAAGGGAAAAGTTCATAACCCCTCATGGTGATCTGCAAACGTGAGACACTAACTGGAGCCATTGAGAATCTCAGGGTCAACTACTGTGGCAGCCTTGCTGGGTACTTAAGTCAATGCAGACAATTCCATACCATGTTTCCCTCAATTCTCCTCCCTCCCTTCTTTCTTTCTTTCTTCTTCTTCTTCTTCTTCTTCTTTTTTTTTTTTTATGTGAGACTTAGTAAGCAGGGCCCATACCTCTCTTTTTTGAACTGTTCTCTGACAAAGTCCTGGATGATTGGGTGCTGGAGTGTGTAGTACTTGGTCCAGTAGATACAGATGAATTCATAATCCTGGAGCAGCTCCATCACTGTGCTGAGACCCTCGTCCAGCTTGAAATTCTCATTCTCCTGAGTCCCTGTTTCTCAGGCATAGATGGTCAACAGTTCAAGGGCATAGACAGGGGGCAGGTTGGCTCTGGGGCACTTGTCTCTCACGTACTGTTTAAAGAGATGGGAAGACAGAGAGACCCCGAGTTTATATGTGATGATGGCATTGGACTAGAAGCTGGAAATCCACAAACTCTGGGCCTCATTCTGCTGCTTATTGGCTGTGTGGCTGTGGCCAAGTCACCTTCCCTCCCTGGGCCTTGGTTTTCTCATTTTAGAATTAGAAGGCTGGGTTAGTGCAGTGTTTCGATTGTTCTTAACAAACATAACTCATGGCGTGGAGTCGTGAAGATGTGGCCTAAGGAGTGAGCTGGCTGGACCTGCCACCAGCATCTCAGCCTCAGAAGCACTGTTTTAATCTGTTTCAATGTGCTGAGCTTTTGGGAAGGGTTTCTTTAAATAAAGGGCTTTTCACTAACAATTGAGGGATTGAGGGAGGTAATGTTCTATAGTGAACCTTGGGATAGACTTTAGAAGACATTATTTCCTATACCATTGTATTGCAGCCATACTGTTTGGGTGGGGTTGATTCTATTCTTTTCTTTTCTTTTTAGGTGGAAACAATATCTTTATTTTATTTTTATGTGGTGCTGAGGATGGAACCCAATGCCTCATGCATGCTAGGTGAGCGCTCTACCACTGAGCCACAACCCCAGCCCGATTCTATTCTTAACTCCAAAGTTGGCACAAATCCAACAACATAAACTTTTACCTCTTGCCAAATGACTGATTCAAGAGAAAAGTGTGTAATTTGAGGATGATTCAATTAGAGCATAGTTCTTTTATTAAGAGATTGAAGGAAGAGAAGTCCTTTCTTGTGTGTGGATGTGAGGGCAGGAACAACTGTGGCCATTTTGCCACTACAA